TATTCAAAGATGTCCTCTCACTTGTGAGTCCTTCATATGAAACCAAGCCCAACTAGGTTGGATCTCAAGCCCAACTAGAGTGGGTGACGGGTACGTCATCGCACTGTCCCACGTATAACTAGCTATAATACCATGCAAGAATGGGAAAAAACGGGTGCACTCCCGCGCACGTAAAGCGCACCATGACAGGGATAGTCTAAATGAAACTCAAGTGATGTTTCATCCTAAAACTAAATGGTGGAATGAGGGGTAGTCCACTAGGCTTATAATTGAGTATATTTTCCATGTATAAACGATACATGACAACTCACAAGTGATATTCTAACAATATGTATAGTTAATAATGATGTGATCATACCCTAATCCAATCTAGTTATTTATTGATTTGTTATTAAATACGTATCCATTACTTTGTGACTTATGATCATTTCATATTGTGCCACTTGACATATTTATTGTGTCAGAAGTTGAAAAATCACCACACATACCCAAATTGTTATTTTATACTAGTACAATTTAGCATTTTCATAAAATACGATCAGTTTATTTTTATTTATTTTTTTATGAGAATTTTTGCAGTTAGTCGAAGCATTTATATGAAGGTCCAAACTCCAATACGAATGACGTGATTCGTGCCTGTCGAGCATTCCGTCCGGGTAACATACATTATTGAGAAATCTTGATCGATAAGTTAGCTTTATGGTAACATATTCTTGATACATTTTGGCCACTAGCTTGCATATAAGACTTTTGAATTTGTTTGGATTTTATTTGTTTGATATTGTTAATTTTTTTTTTTTTTAAAAAAAAAGTGGTATTGTTACTTGTTAGCGGAATTTTGAGTTATATTAAAATAGTATTTAAAATAAAACAATTAAGGTGATTTGATGCAAAAGTATGAAAGAAATTATGCAAAGTGATGATTAATTAAAATTATGTGTATGGTGGATGAACAGTGAATTAAAATTGATGTAATGTGCAAAAGTATGTTCAATGCTATTATTTAATAATATTGATAATATTGAAAACAGTGGAGTTAAGTTAAAATTAAATTAGATTTGAGTTTAAAGAAAAAGTATATGATAAAATGATTGCATTTTTTTTTAGAAAAATTTGTATCCAAGCACGCACTTAGAGTTTAGGATGTATGTGTTATTGTTGTGGCCCAAATGATCTAAGGGATGGCCCAATAATATCCATCAGGCCCAATTTATTGGCTTTATTTCCTTGGCAGCCACACCTCTTACCAGACCCAATTTACTTTCCCTTCATCTCTCTTTTCTCTCTCTTTCCTTGGCCCAGTTGAGAAGAGAGATAAGAGAGGAGTGAAACCCTATAGGACTTGATTTACCCTTAGAATTCTATGTGAGTCTGTTTTTTCCCCTTTGAGAGTGAACCCGAGACTTCTCCTTTTTCGTCTTTGTGAGTGATTGGAAGACTGAAACCTAGGTTATTTAGAGCCTTTGTGAGTAGGGCCTGGGAACTTGACGGGTAATATCGAAGCTCCGTGTGAATTTGTTGTGTGCTACCGGAAATTGAAGTGCCGGTGTATGTGTGGCCAGCCTGAAGCTAGTATCTAGTGATAATTTGTGGGTATTTTGTATGGGGCCTGAGCCTGAAATCCATCAATCAACCGCTATGATTTCGACGACGATTACGGTGATTTCATTCCTTTCTTCTCGTATTTAAATTATTGGTTTGTTTCCCTTTGCAGTAAGAATACTTGTTTGGGTTGCTCTTTTGCTGTTCCTGCTTGTTTGTCATTGTTCAGGTTGCTGTCCGGGCACGTTTTGCAGCAGTACGGGTCCATTAGTTGTTGTCCGGAGCGTACTGGGAGTTGTCGGGACCTGTTGGGAGCTGTTGGGACAAACCTGCTGCTGTTCGGGGACAGTCCGGGCCTGGCGAGTCGAGCCAGATGACCACCCAACAATATGTTCATAATGAAGGATAATTATGATATAAAATTAATGCAATCATTCAATAGTGTCGAACTGTTGTACACCATTTAAATGAATTGCATCCATGATTTTTTTATTTTTTTTTTCAAAATGATATAATGTATTCCTCAAAATGTTAATATACAAGATACAAAACGCAACCTTACTAGCCCAATTGACCCACCATATGGCAGAATCAAGGAGCGGTACTAACAGAAGCGTCCTAGACTACAACTACACCTGAGGAAGAGGGTGTCGAGCAACCGGCAATGCTTAAGGGCCTGAAACCGTAAGTTAGACGCCTAATCAGGCACAAAAGCAACAAAAGACCCACGGGGCGAAAACTACTTCAACTAGTGAAGAACAAACAAAAACAACTAAACGCACACCTAAACTAACTATAAACTAAAACTTTCCCTAGTCAATGCCGACAACCGCAACCAAACCACGACCTAGCACACAAACCAAAACCATGACAGAACAACTCACGAATGAAATCTAAAGAGCTACAGAAACGGACTCTAGAACTAAAAACTCAACAGAAAAGCTAGCTAAAACTAGCTAGAAGGTAGGCCTTAGTCCACCACTGAGCTCTCAAAGCCGCCAAACGGTGGAAGAAGAGGCACAAGGGGCTCGGCTCGAACTGCAACAGCGAAGAAAACCCCTGTTCGCATCACTCGGAGAATGACCCGACGACAAGAGGGCCAACCCGACCAAAGGCTAAAGGGCTAACCGAGTTAACTTTGTTAGCAGCTAAAGGGCCAACTGGGTTGCCCCCTTTCTGAATAGAGAATAAGCAACGGCCTGGAGGCAACAACCGGCGACTAGAGCCAGGAGTCGGCTGTGACAAACGACAACCCAAAAACTGTCGGCGAATAGCAAAGAGTCGGCGGACCCTCTCCCCCTCAAGCAACAGCCAGATGACGCGGCTCGAGACGCCGAGGCAGAGCGCAATAAGAGGGAGACCTCTAGCGCGGCCAGAGAAGAGAGAAACGGGATGGTGGCAATAGGTAGTCAGCGAAGAACAGGACGAAGAGGAGAGACTCCATGATTCAATTGGATACTTATGGTATAAAGTATTATTTATTTTAGGCAATATGTTTATAAAAGACTATTAATGTGGTGTCAATTTAAAATTCTCTATAAAATATAGAATAAACCGTTTATTGATGAATATGTATATTTATAAAGATTATAAACATGCCATGCCAATCTATCGTGTAGTATATTACAGTATAAATATTATATGATATTGTACCTTCATAAAAATTTTAGAGAAATGTAACACATTTCTTACAGTTACAAACAAAATGGATAAAACCATTATCCATCCAAAGTACTCAGGCTTACTCAAATAAACCCTATTGTCATCATCTGGTTAAAAACATTTATGCGATACTTGTGTAAAACCGTATGCACTGATTTGCAAACTGAGATGCATCTCAATTTGGGAAGCATCTTTTATTTTTCAAGAACCATCATGCACAGTAAAAACGCCATTTTCCAGTCGATGTCGTGTCGTTCATTGTCACAAAACACAATCACGGACGAGAAACGACATAATAGAGTCACAAGTCCAAATCAGGAGAAGCCAATTTTTCACTCTCAGAAGGCGAAAACCATGGCAATACCATTGTATGAAGTAACTTTGCTTTACCTTAGCAAAGGAAACATAAAAGTATCAAACGAAACGAAAAGGTTCAATCATCGTCATCCACCGGGTCGAAATCCTTGACTTTCACATCCGCGTCTTCACCGTACTGAATGCAGCAGTCAATTTGCGACAAAATGTACTGAATACTGCACAATACATGGACAAAAGGAATTAATAGCACATCAGACTTTGATATATCCAAGGCTTTGTACGAGGTTCTTATTTGGTTTGTCATTAGCAGCTTAAGATATGGACCTAACGAGCTACACTGCATGACCATGCCATATTTCATCGGCTACTCATACTAGAGACAATTGAAAATGATTTTCACTAAATTTAAATTCCCATAAGCACAAGACTGAGACAATCAGACTGACTTACTATGTAGATTTTGATTAACAAGAGACAAGTAATTATAGTAAAGGAACCGCCCTTTCCTGGCATAAGCTCGTGAATCGAAATATATAGCAGCCCACAGAGGAGGTTTGATTTGTATTTACTAGTACGACACCCATGAATGCTTGATAGAAAGATAATTGTACAACAAATAATAAAAATTTAAAGTTTGTAATATTATTTAAAATTCTGGAAACTATTTCATACACAATATTATTTACAGATTCATTATTGTCAGATGCAGTATCAGCCTTGTGGTTGTGAACTGATAACTAAGAATATCTATGAAAAACGACAAGCACAATATTGGATTTCCATGACAAATATAACAGAATTGCCATCTACCATAAATGTAAGTTCATTTTTAATGGATGCTAGCAATAAATAAATCAAAATAATTAAATAAATCGAGTTCGACTGCAAGACCACACAAATATCTAGCACACATGATTGCATTCTTTAATTTCATATTTTAAACAAACGGGCAAATTTGAAGAAACAAATGACTTTTAAATGAGACAATCATACAAATGCTCCTAAAAAGACATTTACAAAATAAAGCTAAATTAAATCATCAACCAAACTTGATAATTTGCAAAATAGGCTCGTGTCACGAATCAGTCCATAATAATGAGATATGTGACATCTTTATTAAAAAAAAATATATATTTGCAATAGTTTAATTAAAATATTAAAGTCCATTACCAATAAACAAGCAACGCGTTGAATATCACCTTGAGAAAATGAAGACACTTTGAGGTGAAGGTTCACGGAAGCGGAAACATTAAAACGACGATGCACAGGTAGGATGCCATGATATAGTCTTGAATATAAAAGAAAAACAAAATTATTACAGGACTCTTTTCTTACCTGCTCTCTTTTCTCAGGTCAAGAGGCACGAAGCTCACCATGCTGTACTGGTCCACCTGATGCCACAGAAATATTGCAGCAGTTATGCAAGATACAACTTCCACTTACATGAACAAATAATTTTTGAGAAGCATCAAGAAATCAATACACTTTAACATACAAAGATTCACCTAACTCGACATGTACACGTGCATAAGATATAATAGCCACAACTTTTACACTTGATTTTACTAGGAACAATTTGTCAGTAGATTATATTGGAAAGCACATAATTGCGGACAAATCAAAACACTAATCACCGCTGCAGCTAAAACTGCTCAGATGCGATTAAGTTATGTTTCATAAATAACAACTAGTTTTTTTTTCTCTTTTTTTTTCCCCTTAACAGTGATCATGATAGATCCAGATCAAGTTAATGTTCCAATATTACACCGGCATCATCCGCAATGGGTAGAAAAATCATTATATTTCATCAAGAAGACTGATCACTAGAAGCTATGCTTTCGCACTTTTAGAGCAGACAAAACAGGACTTCAACTGGGATGCACACTGAATTTGCTTCAAATTCCTCAGTCTAAAATTATTATTACAAACTATTACAGATTGAAAAATAAGGGGCAAAAAGAGGTGATTATCTGGGAAGCACACTTAATATGCATCGAATTCCTGCATGCTAGTTATGACACTTTGGTAAACGTACCAATTCAATCAAAGATTTGTTAAGCTTTCCAAACTGTGGGCCCATGCGCTGATTCAACTCTGCCAACAGCGTCCGAGGCTCGGGATCCAAGTAACTAGGAAACAAAGAGCAAAAATAAAATCATAGAAATCTATCAAAATATACTGAGTGGAAACCCTATACCACCCCCTTCAACCCCCACGAAACAAAAAATGGTTTCTGTAATGTAAGCACTGACTTCTCAATGTCCTTTTTGTTGGTTACAAGATCCATTTTGGAGAGTATATTAACGTGAGGTAGCTCTAGTTGGACCATAGCAGAAAGTGATGCCATACAGCCACTAATGAACTTGGTCACATCTGTTATAAACTAATGCACAAAACAGAGAATTAAATTAAGAAATAATAAAAAAAAAATAAAAAACACTGACAAATCATGGGCCTGGATGCACAGAAGTACAGATGTAGATACCTGTGAATCAAGCAAGTATACAGCACAGACATTGAAATTTTTTCGCCTTAAATGCTCCACAAAGTTCTTAAGCACTGGTACATGGGAGAAGAGTTCTATCTGGCCTGCAGGTTATTGGAGGTTAGCAGCACAACAAAATTTCCACTTACAAACAGGATTCTATAAAATGTATAAAGATATTGTACAAGCTTGAATTCTGGCAATCAACTATTAAGATCTACACCAATGGAAAATGAAATGCAATTACATATAAACAGCGTTTTACGTTGAGTACTGAAAGCAAAGATACAATATACTAAGCCCATTACATAATATGAAAATGTACCCTTAGATGATTTAATAACAAAACTGACATGTAGTAGCAGACTTTAGTTAGTTGATGACTTAAAAAATATATTAAATCAAAGAGGAAAGTTCTCCATGCTAGATCAAGTACAAGTTTATGAAAGGACAGTTTCTTCTGCATGGTATTTTCCCTTTTTCAGGATCCAAAACATGAGAACACTTAATAAACACCTCCATTTAGTACTATATGCAGGTTTTATGCATTCCCAACACAGGCTGTCAAGGAATCAACCCATAACCATCTCCTCCATATTTGAAAATGGAAAGGAAAACACATCACGGAACTAGTGGAGGTGTTCAAACTGACTTTTGAAAATGTGAGATCACTGACAATGAAAAACGAAATTGGGTAAAAATTACTACAGAAGTTGTTCCGCTAAAAGCCAAGTTCACATGGGCAGAACCATGAAGCATACTACTTGAAGCCATTGTGACATTCAGAGCAAAAATAAAGGTAATTTTTCCAGAACGAGTATCACAGACATGCCATCTCAGCACAAATAAGCCACAATAGTAAATCTATGTATGCTCTCAAGCTATGTCTAGATGAATAGTTTACGCATTCGCTCCAGTATCTCTTTCATATTTATTCTCCATTCCCACAGCAATGGATAACAAAGAAATTTTTCCCTCCAAAAAACTTGTGGAATTTACGAACCGTAAACTATTCGCCAGAACTGTACAAAGTATATACAACAAGAAAGTTGAAGTAAGAGTGTAAAGCAACTCTAAATGAGTTCTTATATCATAAGACTCCCAGATATATTAACCATCAACAATACTGAAACTTTGTGCATCAAGAAAGGGGATAGACCCAGAATCTCCATGAATACCTGGACAGTCGAACACTAAGTAATCATCATCCATGTAGTTATCCAACTCTTCCGTCAGCCAATCATCCAAATTATCTTCCAGATGCCTGAGTTCTAGTTAAGGCTGCATACCAAATAATAGAAACAAAGCATAGTAACAAGGAATCTAAAACTGTTCGTCTCAGTTCATCACCTTAACAAAAGCCAAGAAGATGGTGGGAAAAGACAGACTTCACCAAAACAAGATCAAAGACTACTACATAGGCAAAGGATACTCCATGCAGTATAAAAGACCACCATTCGGACCCAATCCAAGTTCCTCCATAACATCCTCCAGAGAAATGAGCTCCCTAATATCTGGAAACATTTTCAGAAATCTCGTTGTAAGTACAATTTCAGAAAACCAGCCAAGCACGTTAATTGAGGTTAAACTCACCCATTGCAACAGGATAGTCGAAATTCTCTGCAGCAGGATCCAGATTTACAACATGAATTGATCGGCCCACAGCTTCACAATGTTGATACAAGCTAGAACAGTAGGTAGACTGCAAAAATGGGTCCAAATACAACCGATTGTAGCAGGAATTTTCTCGTGTAATTAAAACAAATATGCAAATAACCACTTAAAACAGTGAATAATTCAGAATTCTTAGTCCAAAGAATTGAAGGATGACGATACTAAAAATTTCATACAACAAATAACCATCTTTAAGAGATAATTTGGAATAACAACCTTTCCGCTGCCAGCCGGCCCAATGACTAACTGTGCGTAGCCCATGATAACTTTTTCTTGCCCTCTTTTTCACTTCTCTTTATTCCTACAGTTCCTTAGACAAAATCGAAGGCCCGAAAGACTCCGAGAACTGCAACTAAAACATATGAGGCACACCAAACAGCAGCCGCAAACAAGAAGCTCACTGCATCAGTGAGGCCCATAAAGAAGTCCCACCAAGTAAAAACATCACTACACCACACCTTGAATCACCAATTTCACCGGAAAATGAATAATTAGACATCAACGACTCAGCTTGTTCCATCATCAAAAAAGTATTACAGAAAGAAGAATCGCGAAAAATTGGAAATGATTAAAGACCTCAAATAACTTTGTTCCTAGATAAACAAGATTCGGAGGAGAAGAGAAAGAGAAAGGAGGCGCGTGGACCTTACGCAGAGAAGGTTGTACCTGTTAGCGTTTGGGAACCGGCGGAGAATAGAAAAACAGCAGCTACCAGAGACGGGGGGACTTTGAGGAGTTACGATTATTTATAACAAAACCAGAAAATTGTAATTTAGTCCCTTTGGATCCTGAAAATTGCAAAAATATATATATATATATATTTTTTTTTGGTTAAAATATTAGTACCAGAGCCCCTGATGGCCGTTAAGAGTTAACGTAGCGGAGCCCAGTTAAAAGCTTAAGGGTTTGATTGTTTATGGATTAATTTATTCACTTTTATTTCAACTTAAAATTTAACTCAACTTTAACTCAATTCCACTATTTTTAATATTATTCATATAATTAATTAATAATACAAATCAATTATTCTTACACATCACATCAACTTTAATTCACTATTCATCCACTCACATATTTTTAATTACCTATCATTTCTAATCATTTATCTCTTACTTTTACATCAAATCAATTTTAAACATTTTATTTTAAATATTATTTTAATATATTCTTAAAATTCCACTAACACCTAACTATACTACTTTTTCAAATTTAAATATGGTTAACCAAAATAACTCATTTTGAACAAATTATTTCATAAACAATCAAGCCCTAAATGTTCTTTCTAAGGAGCAGAATTGGAGACCATTTATCTACTAGGATTTATTCATCTAAACCTCGTGCAAAAATTACTATTTATATTTATATATATTTTCATACATAATTCACAAAAAAAAAAAAAAAAAAAAGGCACCTAGGAGCCTCCTAACCCGTCTACTCGGCGCCTAGTCTATTTTTTATAACACTCAATGTAATTGTAAGAGTTTGATTGTTTTTTAAATAATTTGTTCAAAATATATTACTTTAGTTAACCATAGTTAAATTTTGGAAAGTGTAGTATAGAAATTTTAAAAATGTATTAAAATAATATTTGAAATAATATGATTAAAATTGATTTGATGTAAAAGTAGGAGATAAATGATTGAAATGATAGATAGTTAAAATTATGTGAGTAGATGAATATTGAATTAAAGTTGATGTGGAGTTACAAATGATTAATTCGTATTATTTAATTATATAAATAATATTAAAGATAGTGAAGTTGAGTTAAAGTTGAGTTAGATTTTTAGTATGAGATAAATTGAGCTAATTTGCATACAATGATAATATGAAATATTTATTACAATGATATGTTTTAAAAAAAATATATTATTTAAATTAAATTACTCATTGAAAATAAATATATCAAATATATACTACTACCTCCTATTTTTAATATATGTCGTTTTGGAAGTTGCACATTAATTAAAAATAATTTTTTATATCGATAATAACCTTATTTAATGAAGATAGAGATGAATGTTTTGAGAAAAAATAAAAAGTGAATATGAAAAGACGTAATGCATTTATTAGCTAAATGAAGGTAATAATCCTCTCTAAATATAATTCCAGAATGCGCTGAGCCTACGTGGCTGCTTCTGGTGCTTCGGAATCCTATTTGGCGAAGAATCATGCTTCGTAATTAGGTTTGGATAAATAATATTGATGTATTAATAATTAATAATCTAGGTTCGGGTATTCCATAAATATTATTTAGCTAACTTAGGTATTTTAATATCACTTTTACTATTATAACCCTTTAATTCTTTGTAATTTTACATAGTGAGGCACTAAGTGACTAATATATCCCTGAATTTTGATTTGTTTCCTTCAATAAGCTATTGAATTATAAATGTATTTTAAAAGTTGATAACTTTTGTATTTCTTAGCGGTTTTACATATATAATATATCAAATTAATCATTTTTTATGATCTTCGATTTGACATCCATATTGTATATATGAAATAAATAAATTATATTTATCTTTATAATAATAAAAAAAAATAATAATATTTATTAAAATTCATTAGGAAAATAAAATTATTTCTCAATTGATATATCTATTTGTAATGTAGTTATATATTGTAAGTTAAAAAAAATTAGTATTATATAACACAAGTAAGTTGCACAAATAAAAAGTGTCATAATAAATATATAATAATATATATATTATTGTAAAAGGTATTTAAATTTTCAAACTAATTTTTCTCATTAATTTTAGATTTTAAGAAAAAAATATTAGCAAGCACCCGTGTAATACATGGGTGTTGTACTAGTGGAAAAATATGTACAAAAGATCCAACACAACATTTATTTAGTTAATACTACCTCCTATTTTTAATATATGTCGTTTTGAGAAGTTGCACACTAATTAAGAATATTTTTTTTGTCAATATTAACTTTATTTAATGAAGATAGATATAAATGTTTTGAGAAAAAATAAGAGTGAATATGAAAGGACGTAATGTATTTATTGGCTAAATGAGGTGTAATAATGGAAAAATATGTACAAAAGATCCAAGACGACATTTATTTGACAAATAGTTGAAAAAGCTAGAATGACATTAAAAAAAAAAAAATAG